CATTGCAATTAACACGTAGCCATCAGACTTTGAAGCCCCGCTACATGTTGAGTATTCTGATAATGAAGCGAGTACCAACGGAGCCCGCTGCCTGCCTGGGCTGGTGCCACCCACCGACGGCTGCCTCGAAATGCCAGCGTTTGCCGTCGAAAAGGTTAACGGATCACAATCGGTGGCCTCTGACGCGGCAAAAGGTACCGGCCGACGTGTCCAGTCGAGGCACCCACCCGTCCGGATGGGCCAGCTTCCCACTCGCCAATGGCCGGCACAACTCACCCACGTCGCCGGTGGCCTGCTGGACTCGAGGCCAGGCCGGCTCGAGGAGGCGCTCAAAAAGGCCTTGTTCTCCTTCCCTCTCGGCCCCTCACGCGTCTCTGACGCTCGGGACGGCCCCCCTCGTGGTACAGGTTGACCAGTCTTCTACATGCCACCCAACCGTATGCACACACCTACAAGCCTACACACCCATTGTGCATGTGGAGGTAGGCACACACACAATGGGTGGCCGCAAGATGCAGGGACTCTGATGGGTGAAAGACCGAATGTGACCGGGTTGATTGGCCCATTTTAGGCATTGCCCAGTGAACACATACCGAAGCAACAAGGAAGCCACCGGCTCATGGCTCAGGCTGCGAAGAGAAGAGGGTAGAGGAGAAAGTGATGATAATAGGGTGGAAGGAGTTGGTGAGAAGAGGGAGATTGAACGAGGTCGAATGTTGATAAGGTAAGTAGTAACCGATGTAACTGATTTTAAAGATTATCACCAATTCTTGACTATGAAATAAATCATACTAGGTCGTTTTTGTTGAGTCAGGTGGTAGTTGCGTATTCACACAATCAAGCTGACATTGAGTTTCACATGCAATCTGGCTTACAAAAAAGATTTCCCATCCAGACTCGACTGGGCTGCAATTTCCACCTCACACACCGACGAGATTCGAATTCAGGTCGTCACTATCGTGGCGACACAACTCTACTACTCAGCAACGGGTGCCAGTAGTTCACAGACCAAATACAATACGGCCAATACGGCTAACATATAATTATTTTTTCATATATAAGCAGAGTTTCGAAACTACCAGTAAATCGCTTGTATGGGATGTATTCATCCTATTTCGTTTAAAGTGATCAAGGACTGGTAGCAGAATTTTCCAGTAGTGATATGAGTAGAGCTGACGTTTCCTTTTAATTTAACATAAGCCTGCATTCCCAAAAGTTGTCCAGGATGGACTGCAGGTTCGACCTCGCCTAAGATCTTATCCACACTCCCAGTGGTAGTCAAATCATGACAGTGCAGCATACGAGCTCGACACTTTAACATTGCCACGAGTGCCCTTGGGCCACAGGGCAGAAGTGAATTTCAAGAAAGACCAGGTTTTTTTCGATACTAATTTACCATATTACTTTTCCACACAAAAAATAAGTAGTGTAGTCGATTGTTATTGCAAAAATACCTTTGCTTCATCGGCAATCCCACCAAATAATCTGATATGGGAAAAAGCCTGAAATTCGCATCTGCCCTGTGAACCAAGGGCACTCGGGGTAATG